AAGTTCGAGAGCCTCTAATCCCACCATCTCTCAAGGACCTCGACCATCACTCTACACATAACGAGGCCCCATTTACCACTTAAACAGCAGCCAAAAGAAGAGGAGTAGCCTCATCAATATTGACTGGCTAGAAATTGAGCTTGGTTGCGAGAAAGAACTAGCTAGAGTCCTCAGACACAAAGTCCACGCCGGAGATCCAACAAAAAAGAGGAGGATTTTAGTGATCAATCCCCCTGTTAAGGGGAAGTTTCAAAAGTGAAATCTTTTAAGTTATGGTATTGGCCACGCCGCGTCCCCGTGAAGTAATTGAAGTCATGGTGCTCGACCCATAGTTGCTTTAGCCATGAATCTGCCACGCTTAAAAGTGACACTAGCCTGTCCTGGTCCCGACCGCAATTGCCTGAGACCCACACGTTCCCTTGCATCTTGTAAGTGGCCAAACCAAATGGAGGGAGAGTGATGTTTTCCCCTTCCTTTCGCTTCTTTTCCGGACTCTCAATGTCATCTTCTACGTCCATATCTGAAGGCATAAACATACATTAAACGCGTACTAAATAAGCTAATCAATCAGAATATTCGAAGCTCTCTAGGTTAAGATCAGAGAATTGGGCTAGAAAAGGTACCTAGAAAAGATGATGAGAGGGTGTGGTAAGTGAGGAAGCATGTAGACAAGTCCTTTATGGTTCTTCCCATTGGAATGTGATAGATAGGGTACCTGCGTATAGTTGACCACAAATGCTTCGATGTTATTAATATAAACATGCCGATGGGTGTGAAGAATAATGATTCATTGAAGCTTATCAGGGAACTCCCATGAATTGAATAACAGGATAAACAAATTAGGCGCCATGTTAAATGTGGAAACCATGCCTTTGAGTATACTTTAGTTAACTTAATTATTTTGATTGCTTGTCGTGCGAGTTTCTGTAAGAGAGAGATTGAGAAACCAACCATGCAATTGCCATCCAACTAGCCGGTGAAAGATCTACACTTCTCAATGACATTAAACCCGGAAATCGTCGAGCAAATCCATTAATCTGTAAGCAAAAGGCAAAGAAGGTGTCAAGGAATCCAAGCTTTTAAACAAAGTGGAGGAATTAGTGCATTTTAATAGTCAAAATCAAACCCAGTTTTAAGAACTTATTTTGTTGATGGTCTCATGGATTCTTCTTCCTGACAACAGTATAAAGTAAAAGAGACAACTCCGATAGAACGTGCGAATATATGCTCAGGAAACAACATGATGAACTAAACAACGAAAGATATGAATCTATTAGCTTAAGACATTGCAGTTCTTTCTTTTCTAGTACAAAAGTCAAAAGTTGCAATTCCTCTTTACAAGATGCCTATCATGAAAAGGATGCGGAATGATTCTCAACAAATCAAAATAGTTTTGCTTTGTCTTTATCATTCATAATCTTCAAAAACTAAAGCTGAAAAATGCTAATCAAAGTAGATTGAAAAAAGCTACAAGCTGTAAGATTTGCGCAAGAGCAAAAAAAAACACCAACCTTGTCCATCAAAGGAACTCTTCCATAAGGAGTTGATCTCTCAAAGTATTGAAAATATAGGCGCCCCAGTCTATTATTTCTTGGACAAGGGTTGTCTTGCTCTGACCCTCCTTCTGATGAGCATCCATCGCACCTGCATTTCTTGTCACTCTCACTATCATCACTCCACGAATCGCTGAACGAGTCTCTCGTTTCGCCATCACCAGACTCAGTGTCTTCCCTACAAACACCAAATCAAAAACATTCCAAACATTACTTTCTAGGCCTTGTCTGCTTAAGATGAACACTCAAAATTCACATAAATCACCCTCCCAGTTAGTATGTTCCAGACTTCCAACAATCATAATTTAAAAAACTTGAACAAATGAAAGGGCTAATTGCAACAGTATTGGTCACAAAATCAATAAGTTTTTAGCTAATGCATCTGGGATTTTGAAACACTTCTGTGATCTTCTTTCATCAATTAACATGATAACTTACATAGTTCATTAATTTCAAGAGGAATATTAAAAGTGCATAAACCCAAGAAAACAAAGTAATACCTGAAACTGTTGACTGGAGAATTGCTTGTGAAAATTTGGATAGCAGAGAGGTAAGGCACATAGTATTGAACCAAGGTTTCACCATTGTCCAAAGCAATAGGAACTCCAGCCCCATAAGCACTCCATTCATCATAAAAATTCCATAGATCACCCAATGTAAAATACTCCACTGTGTCTCTCTCCCATGGGTGCCATAGTCTGTTTAGATTCCTAATCTCCCTCTAAAACACAAACAAAACAATTGGCCAACAATCACACACAACTCAATTTGCAGATAAACTCATCAGAAGCAAGACAAAAAAACACAAACCTTGGGGAGGGATTGAGATGGGACCAGCGGAGTTGTGCAATGAAGGAAACAATCGAGGTTTGATTGCATTGACCCTTTGTCGAGAAACATGATTTTAGATTAAAAAAGACAGGAAATCTCGAGTCAAAGAGTCTTCCTCTTGTCCCTGTGAAAACAGAGGAGGGACAATAGAGAGATAAGAAGAAAGAGCGGAGAGAATGAGAGATTATAGGGATACGATTTCCCTATTCAAAGAAAGAAACAGAAACGTTAGAGAAATCTATTTTTTGACGTTTGGACATCTAAATATAAGGAAAAATTAAAAAAAAAAAATCTCACTTCTTTTACTTTTATCTTTATCTTTATCAAACAGAAACTAAAATAAATAAGTTTTTGTTGGCAACAAGAAGGAAAAAATGACAATGTTGTCTAAAGATCAAATCTTTTCCCTGTCACCGGAGACTGAAAATTCAGGCAAGATTTTTTCTTCAAATTGGAACACTAAAACCTTCTCTCGAGTGGGAATTACTCCTTTGTTTTATATTGTTTTGTTTTTTTCTTGAAGGAAACTCAACCGTTACACTACAAAACAGAGACTCTGCTTTGATCAATATTGAAGAAACCAAATTACTTGTCTTGGTAATCAAACAACACAAACTCAACGTTAATTCTTCAAGTTAAATCAAGACCCAGATAGAAAAACACTTTAGATCAACAGAAACAGCTAGAAACCACTCTGAATTTTGAAGGAAGGAAAGGCAGAGTAAATACAAGAAAGTGAGAATTTAAATACTCCTCTGCTTCCTTTTCTTTTGTAGCTCTAAGATCAAGAATGTATCTCTCTTTATAACTGAATATGATAAAAAGGAATCAACTTTAAGTGAGAAGAACAGCAGAGGGCGAGATCTTGGAAAATCAAGAAACAAACCACTATCCAAAACAGATTATGTTGATGTCTTGATGTTTTGAGAGGGATACTAAGCAGAGTGTAGTCAATTAGAATTATCCAATTGGTAGAGAAGCATGGAGCTATTGATTTCTTGAGAGAGAGAGAGGGTGAAAATAAGGGATACTCGGTAAAGGGGTCAGAACACAAGATTTATATCATTTATGGTTCTCCCTCTCTCTTAAGGGTACAAATTTTTTCTTTGTTTTAAATATTTTATGTGGGGAGGAAGGGTTTTCAAGGTTTTGAAGTGGGACTTGGTCCACTGGAATTTTTAGCAGGTAGTATAGGATCTTATTTTTCTCCTTTTATATGTAGAATTAATAATCAAAAAGCTTGGTAAAAAAAATCAAGAATTCTTTTTTATGACGAGGAATTTTTTTCAACAGTTTTATGTATTTGGATTAAATTTATTAAATATTAGATAATGTATATATATACTTGAATTTTATATTTACAAAAAAAATATTATTTTTTATGGCAACTTCTAACTTAAAAATAAAAATGATGATGGAAAATAAACTCATATTGTCACAAATCAAACCCTTATAATGTTCAACTTTAAGAAAATATATATTAAATTTTAACCAACTCACGAATTGATCCATTAAATTAACTAAATTATATTTAATTTAATTTAAAACTCAATTCATATAAAAATTAAGTTAAAGGATGAAGTTGACCCACTCAACTTAAATAACACTGGTTAATATAATAGTGATAATCTATCACATATTAGTCAAATTCCCGCATTCAAATAATTTTGAATGAGAATAAAAAATCTTACTGACTTCTAAGTTTTATATGATATATTTATTTCTTTTTTGTAACATATTATTTTAGAGTGGTGTGGGAGCACATCTCTGCCAACTCTAATTAGGGTTAGCCTTAAAAAATCTTGATAGATATCATATTCAACTTTAATGAATTTATTAACACGAGTTCCTCTTATCCTAAATACAATCACTTAATAATTAACCCATCTAGATATGGCAGTAGCATTTATCGTCGTCTCATGCAAGGACGGGTTCAAGTTCAAGGTTTTGATCAGCCAAAAGTGAGGTCTTTAAAATTTAAATGCCATTTTCCTGCGACCATGTCCAAGTAAAATTAAAGGGAGTTGTTGGGAATTTGAATTTAAAAAGAAAAATATATAAGAATCAAACTTTCATGGCAGTAAAAAATAAAAATAAAAGGTACGAAAATTTTATTTCAAAACTTAATTATGGCAAGTTATTGAATTTAAGGCATGAAGGGAGAGGTTCTTCACTAGGATCTTTTCTCGGGAAGGAGAAGGAAAAGAGAAAGAAAGACATCTAGGTTAGGATTTCAGCTAGACCTATCATGGAAAGGATTAAAAAAATAACTTTTTTTAATATTAAATATCATTTAAAAAAAAAACAATATGGTATACGGGACAAAAGGCTAAAATATACCACAAAGTCATAATTGTTTTAGCCTTAAATTAAGGTTTAACACTTTACTATTGCTGTTTAAGCTGAGGTTTATTTTTCTACTATTATTTTATTATTATTTCTTAACCTTGAATTAAAGTTTAATCTCTTACTATTATTTTGTTTTAATTGTCAGAAAGAGGAGTAAAGGAAACCGCGTGAACGCAAACAGTACTTAAAAACTATTACAAGATAATTTTCAACTACGTGGTGCGTACGCAGGATGTCTGTTAGCTGTAACTGATTGACCGGCTCCTCCACTGCTTCCGTTCTCGTCACTCATGTCATGAGCAGAACAAAGGCGGAGGATTCGTTTTGTTTGTCGGAGAAACCTAGATTTAGTCTTTAATGTATTATCTTATTATCATTTCAGTCATTGTTCTTTTAATTTTATAGCTCTGGCAGTGTTTGGGAAAATTTGAAAAAACAATTTATTTAAAATAAATTTATAGTGTGCTGCGTTGATAAACAATATCATAGTAGAATCTAACTTACATGTGCTCTTTGAGCATTGTTTTCGTTCACTCAATTTTCATATTATTTTGTATATGCTGATGTAGTATTTGTTTGTGCTTATTGTTGGTAGATTATGGCCTCTTTTCATGCCTTTCATTTCATTCAAGCTAATAGAGTTTATCATAAATTGTCACTACAATAGTTTTTATGACAGGTGAAGGCTTGCAATAACGCTTTAAATAGAAATACTTAAATGTGTGTATAATTGAATGAAATATCTTAATTACAGGAAAATTTGATACTAAGAGTGTTTGAAAGTGCAGTTAAAATGTATTTAAAAAAATTAGTTTAAATTATTTTTTTATATTTTTTAATCATTTTAGAAACCATTTATTTGGGAGGTTGTGTCTGTATTTTATTTAAAATGTAAGCATAACATGTTTGGTAATTAAAAAACATAATTTACTGTTCATGGAACCTATTGAAATTTATGTTTGTAACGCAAGGACAGAGAAAGCAATGTTGAGCTGCTTCTATAGAGAGTGACTCCAAGCATGTTTGGAAGCTTTGTTACGGTTGCGTTTTAAAGTGTTTTTCACTCGGAAAAATATATCAATAATTTTTTTATTTGTAAAAAATAATTTTTAAAATCAACACATTAAAATAATTTAAAAACATCAAAAATATATTAATTAAAAGCAAAAAAATCATTTTTTTTCAAAAACACTTTTGAAACGCGGTGTTAAACACACCCTCTACTATTTATGTGAACAGTGGAGTCACCCTCCACTATTTTAGCCAGATTTCGATCGGTTCAAAGTCAAATGCATTGAACTAGATCAAATCTAGTAAAATAATTTTTTTTTTATTGTGTTTTATTCAAAAGAATTAATGTTTAATATTATTCAATGACACTACATAAATTAAACAGAAATCCTTTAATGACATAATAGTTAAAACATTTAATCACAATCTCAATTTTATTCTTGATGATATTGCGTACTTAAGAAACCAAGGAAATTATAGTTTTTATTAGATATATTTTATACGTGATAGAGTTGTAAATAGTTTAATGGAACAATAAAAAATATTTTATAAAAAATATTATTTATTTCATGATGTAATAACAGTAATTAAATCTATAATATCTAAATTAAAAACCATTAATATTAATATATATTTTTAAAATTATTTTATAATCTCAATTTGAAAAGTATTTTTAACCAAACGCAATAAACTACTTCTTTTTTTTTTACTTCAATTTCAATAACAATTCTAATAAAACATATATAAATACCAAACTAACCTCAACCAAAAGTATTTTTTATAAAATAACTTTTTTCCAACCACAACCACAGAAACTATCACAATACCAAACACACTACACAAAATTTAATTTTCTTAAAAAATTTAGTTTAATATATTTTTAAGATAAAAAAAAACTAAAAAACCTTTACCACACTCTTAAATAGGTTCATTATCTAAAATTCATTGTGTTTGGAGAAAAAAGACATAATAAAAAATTTTAAAACTCAGTTAGTAATAGAGTAATATCCTGGGGACGAAATTGAAGTTTGACGCTGTTGCTTTTTGTCACAGAACTAGACAAGGAAGAAAAAAGGTTATTCGTGGAGAAAGCAACACGTGGATATCCAGCACGGCATGGGGCAATTTATGGTGACAGATAGAGGGGCGGAAGGGTAATCTGAATAGAATAATGGGGGGCAGCCTTTATTCTGACTTTTTGTTTGTTTCTCTATGGGTTGATGGATGGATTTACGGTTGGCCGTGCATTTTCATTCATAGCCATAAGTAGAAATTGAGATAAATATGTAGCGTACAATTTTTTTTGACAAAAATAGGTGGAGGATGATTTTATTTTTCTGAAATAAAAAAATAAAAAATGTATTTTATATAATGTAAAAGAAAAAAAATAAATTTAAAATGATGAAAAATAATTAATAATAGGTGAGAAAATTTTGAAAATAATAAATATAGATGAATTTATGCTATCTCAAATGCTAAATATGAAAAATATAGCAATAATAAAATTCAAGAATGTACTTGTGTTGTTGGACCATGATCTTAAAATACACACATACATATATATATACATATATGAATTTTTTTATTATGTTTTCTTTATATATATTTAGCATTATTTATAAAATATCAACATCAATTGAGAGATATTGATGACACTAAATCAATTCACCAGCTAAAAAAAGAAATAATATTATTAATCAAGTGCTCTAAGCCAAAGTAGAAGTAAATTATTTCCATCAATTACATAAATGGTATAATCAATTAAGAAGATACAAGCATGTAATGCCATGTTTTTTGCAATGATTTGTTCTCTATTTTAATTTCATGTGGAAGGGGAAAACATAATTGAAGTCTTCAATGCAGCAAATCTTACTCTCGACAATGATTTGTTCATGTTTTGTTGTCGTAAGAATCTTGCTTGGTGCATGCGTGGATTTACTAATATATATACTTGTGGGTGATATTTATTAAAGGATTTTAATGGATGTGTGTTGTATTTTTCAGGTCTTTTTTTTTAAATTTAGGTAATTAATCTTAATTTCACTAACCAGAAAAAACTATTAAATTTACAAGAAATTAAAACTCCAAAAACACATGTAGCTGACTCATAATTAAGGAACCTACTAGTATTAGTTTGGTAGCACCAACTTGCATTCATTATTCTGTACACTTTTAATATTAAATATTTTGATTTAATTTATACATTTCAAAATTATATAAGGAAAAAATAAGCATAAATTTCTGTTGTGTTTTATTTTATTTTCATTTATTATTTTTGGATTAATCATCAAATTGCATGATCCCATTTTAATCATTTTCTTCTATTTTGTTTCCAAACATCCAAGAACCGAACGTGAAGGAAACGACATGAACTTCCTTTAATGTGAACGTCCTAAAATCAAAGAGACTTTGAAGGCCACAAATAAAAATCTATCAAAAAACAGAAGGGTGAAAACGACACTCACATGCAAGAAAGCGAAGCCAAATCACATGCCAGTTTTTGTGTTTAAATTGCATCGATCTTCCATGAGGGGTTCTATGGGATTCTTCTCTTTATTTTTCTTTCCTGACCCCAATCTTAATTAGGTAGGGACTGATGCATCCTTCATTTTCTCATGAGATTAGATTAATAAGCTGGAAAAGAAGAAATTAAGAATTAAATAAGACCACAGATTAGATTAACAAGTCGATTTTGTGTATCTGTCCCCCCCTCTATCTTAATTCGAGAGGATAAATTAATAACAT